AGCGGGAAAGTTGATGGAGACATGTAACTTATGCAACTAACACACGTAATGAAGTAGAATACCAAGATGTGTGTCCAAAACTGCAAAATGCGGCTGGGAGAGGTCGTAGGTGCTCTCCTCCACCTTGACTCCTCCACTGTTTGAGATAATACCGTAATACTACATACTTCATTAGTGGGTTGTATTTATAAGCAAGACCAACCACCATCGCTCGACCAACCACCAGAGCCTTCGTAATCCCCCATCGGACTAAAGCCCTCGACTTTTCTGGTGTTTCCATGCTGTGCGATAGCCGCTACGATGAAACCAAAGAAGAGGACACAGTTTTCGAGCTGCGATGCTTGTCGTCAGTCACGCGTTGCTTGCGATGCTTCGCGTCGTGGTCATAGGCCTCGCAGCACCACTTGGCTAGGATCGTGCTCACGGTGCGTCTCAAGAGGTCAGGATTGCTCTTTCAAGGTAAGACTCGTCATAAAACCAGGGAGACTTGCACTAAGAAGCTTTCCAGTGGATTGGACAAGCCAGCACACAGGCCGTGGGGTCAAACCTCGGAACGCAATTACCACAGTCAGCAACGAGTGGCGCCTGTCAGGATTCGAATAAAACGGCAGACACTACCATACCAGCAGGGCCTTATTTATCCTCTATCAGCCTTCGTCTGTTTCATGAAGTGTTCGAACCTTCTTTCGAGCTTCTATCTAGTGAACATGGCTGCCCCCCTCATGTGTGTCCGCCATCTTTGCCTCCGCCCAGCACCTGAAAGCAATGATCTGAATCCAAGTACTAATAGCCGCTTTTAGTAGCGAACCTAGCAATGGCGTCAGGGTCTACGGCTCCCAAATCTTCACCGACCTCGACTCGTACTTGGGCAAGGCCGCAGGCCATCAGGGAACGACGTTCGTCCTCGAAACTCCGGCGCGAACGTCAACATCCGATGACCTAGTCGTCTCTATTCTCAACACGGCCAAAATAGCATACGCAGCACGGTGGATTTCATTCGCGATAAGCCTCAGCCACATGAATCAAACGCAGAGCGAGGAATTTGTTCGCGAGAGTTGGCGCACTGCGAGGAGAAACATGCTTAAGCTTCTCACTAGAGCGACTTGCCGATCAGTGCTGGCTTTATATTTGTTTTCTCAAACTCCTATTCCGACAGGGATATCTGAGGAAGAGATCTCGGATGGCATTAGTGGTGTAGTGTGCATCCATGCTGCTCTCTCCCAAGTTCAGAACCTTCGTGACAGGCGGGTAGGAACCCACGTATCCACCGAGTTCCTCAATCTTGAGAGCAGAATATACTGGGCAGCCATAGCATGGGACACCGCGAACTCTTTAGTGTCCAACTTGAGGTCATCTTTGACCTCCGGGCTGAAAGGAGCTTGCCTAGAGCCGGTATGGATTGTAGTCAGAGCCTTCCTCAAAAGCTCGTTCCAGCCCAAGATCCAGAGGTGGCGGGCAGGGACGTTAGAAGACACTGATGAAGTTGCTTGCTCAATATTTTCGGGTGCGGCAGTCGGAAATTTGTACTTCTGGAAAACCATCACATCTCTCAAGGAAGCTGTGAGGGAGGGAGTGGATGAGACGACCCTTCAACTCACTTGGAAATCGCTACTTGATGCCCTCAACATATGGGAGAACTCGATTCGTCCGCTTCTCGAAACATGTCAAAGACGCCTCAACTTCTTAGACCCAAAGCACCGACTGAATTGGTTCCAATTGAGTCTTGAGTATTGGCTAGGAGTTTTGATTGTAGTCGATACACTCGAAAACGCGTATCGGTCGGACCTCATACGCCAACTTACGAAATTGAGGCAAGACGCGCAATGTGAAATTTTCAACGCCATTCAGTATGGATTGAAGACAGATTACATCTTGCCTCAATTTTCAGAGAAATGCGATCTGCAGTCAAACGGAGACGTTCCTGCTTGCTCAACATCACTCATAGGGGTTTACTCGTTCTTCCCGCACTTACTTACTGCTGTTAGGCTCGCACAAAAGGCTGTCGAAAGGGACTACGACGGTCATAGAATCAGCCGTGCGGTATACTGCTCCTTGATCTCTATCCTCGTCGAGGCGTTAGGGCATCTCCCGCCGTTTTCTCGTGGAGTTCAGCAGGCAAAAATCGTCATATCCAAGAATGGGAAAGAATTTGGAAGTGGCCTTGAATCTTCGCTAAATGGCTCAGCTTCTTGAAGTTGGAGATTTCGGTGTTACTTTAGCTGGACACACAATCTTACTCAGTCACAGTCATTGTGGAGAGGGGGATGGCCTCATCATGACTGTATTGGCACGTAACCCCAGCTTCCTAGAAGCGCGAAGAGTTTACCACGTACTTAGTCATTGGCTGGAAGCAAACGTCCAAGCAACTTTTGAAAACTTTGTTTCGGGGGCAATGCTATGCAGAGAGTCCCGAGAAAGGAATAAAAGTAATGGGGCAATCAGAATGATCAACCCCGAGGTGCACTGAATGACTCGTTGATGGTGTCACGGACCATGATTGTAAGAGTGACCCCGGCTGACAGTTGAGCTTATTTCCCAAATCTCCTGATTTTCGAAGCATACTCTTTCCAGAGAGAGCCCTTTGAGTGGCGGATGTAACACGTCTTGAACAAACTCGAAATTGTCTGCTTGAGTCTTCTTCTAAGGTAAATGAATAAAGGGCCACCCCTCTACAAACGGCCCCTTCCGCACAGCGTCCTTCTGCACGGATACTCAAGGCGATGCCGAATCAGTGAAAAGATGCCAGATCCATCCAGTATGAGACTTATTCGCTGGATGGGCTTACTCGCAAACGAATAATCGGGGATTGCCCATCCCATGAGTCAATCTGGTCGAATCCCGCGAGATGCAGAGAATTTGGAAGCGCTCCATGGTCGTCTGAACCTGTCGAAACTCATTTATGAACCTTAAATCCCGAACCCGTCGGTTCCCAAGTGCCTTTGTAAGGAAGAGAGACTTCCTCCACTCGAAACGAACCACGAGCGAAGAAAATTCCCTTAGTCCAGAGCCACGGGCACCGGCACCCCACGCGGTCTGGGACCAGTGATGTTGATCCGATGGTCGACGTAAACCTTAGTAGAGGTTGCACGGGCGTTAAATATCAACTCTCTGATAGGTACTCTGTACTCCTCGGAAAGTTTAGCTTGTATTTGGGCGACCACCACCCGAGGGTTTCATATTGTTCTCCCAAAGCTTCCATGTTTAACTGATTGTAGATGAACCCTGCATATAAACCCTTCTGTACCCGCTATCACCATGTGAAGACAAAAGGTTTTGAGGGCTCAACCTCATCAACCTAGCATTTGACTGGGTGCGACTACGATGCTACAAAGGATTACAGGATTATGGGTTCTGGCCATAATAACTGGTACGTCCACTGCCCAACAGCAAATACCATTCAATAACTCAAGTCCCGGTTTCCCCGGATGCGCGGTATGATCCTTAGAAACCAAACTTGAGGGTTTGAGCCTACTCCTCTGATATTGTTAGCTTGAATGTATTGCCAAGGAGATTGAAAAAACTCCATGTCGGCTTGTCACGAATCAGACTTGTGTTTGCAACGAACGTGACTTCTACAAGCGCGTTGAAACTTGCGCAGTGGCAGACTGTACCCCTATTGATGGGATAGGTATGCTGCATGCACGCCACTTAAGAGTTGTCCACTCTGCATTAGTCAATCCTTTACTGACTTCCATCGTCAACAGCGGCACAAAAAGCCAAGGCCGACTTTTGTAACGATCCCATCCGGTCACAGGTTTCCTTTCTTTATGCACTACGCTCGTTTGAAGTCGCCGCTTGGCTTCTCGTAATTTTCCGCTTCTACGCTCGCTGGATCACACAGCATTCTTTCGGATGGGATGATTATATCATGATGATAGTTGCGGTACGCGCCATCAGTATACTTACCATGCTGGTCAGACCTGAATCAGATGCTCATCACTTTTAGACAATTTATATACCCCAACTGGCTGTGAGCCAACTTAGTGAGTATTTAACGTCAAGCCAACATGAGCAATAGCCTGACATCTCTCTCTAAGTGGACGAAAATGCGTTCGGACGCGATATTTGGAATTTGCCATGGAATAAAGTATGTTTGGGTCTCAAGGTAAAAGCCCAACTCCTTAAAAGTCATCAGCACTAAGCCGTCGCAGCTCTTTTATGTCCAGGAGCCACTCTACTTTACCCAATTAGCCCTCACAAAGATGTCTATCTTGTTCCTATATCTTCGTATCTTCCCCGGCCGACGATTCAGAATTTTGACGTACACCTTCATGTCTTTCGTTGCTGGTTCCACGGCTGTCCTCGTCTCCCTGTCAATATTTGAGTGCTGGCCTGTTGGATACTTTTGGGAAGCCTGGAACACAGAATATCTCATTCATTCCAACAAGTGTTTGAATCTTACTTTAGGAGCATTTGGCTCCGCAAGTCTCTCAATCTTTCAAGACATCGTCATGATTGCCCTGCCTATACCTCCTCTCCTGAAAACTCATTTACCGAAGAAGGACAAGGTAGCAATATCGTCACTTTTCTTTTTGGGCCTCCTTATAACAGCTGCCAGCTGCGTCAGGCTCCAGTTCATCAACGTGGCTTACTCACCAAACCCTTTCTGGGATTACGAACCCGCATTGTTATGGTCCCTCGTTGAGCTAGCCATTTCATTCCTTGTAACAAGCCTGCCAGCGTTGTACACCTATTACAACAGCATAGCCAGGCCTCGAGTAGTGGCTTACTTCAAGACGCGGCGCGATCGAAAGACCTCTCAACAAAGCGATAGCGGAGAGCAAAGCTACCTGCCGTCACGGTTGCCATCCGGCCCAGAGTCCTTAGGACAGAACCATCGCCGTAGTGGCATGATCTCCAGGTTGGCTTTTAGTCCTGTGTCATGGGATCAAGTCGGCGATTGCGCCTCCTCACATCGACTAGGGGACCTTCAGTCAAATACAGAGGAGATATTCGCAGTCTCCCAATTCGATAGCGAGGTGGTCTCCACCGAATCGTCGAAGATAGAACCTACTAAGTTCGGAGATGACATCCCTCAACCGAATATTCATTACAGTTGTGAAGAAGACAAGCTCGATGATATAGAGGCTCTGGCTTGGCTAGGTCGGCGCGAAAGACTCGCATCAGAAGCAGCAGCCGTACGCTTAGATGCCGAAGCTCGTCGTATCAGCTGAGTGTCATTGTGGAAGAGATCCGATGGCTTTATAGAACTGAAAGGTCACATGATAAGGAAGAGAGCGTTTAGTTTGTTCCCGCACTACGATCCGACCATGATACTAGACTTCTCCCTACTTATTCAAACTTGTGATGGGAAATTTCTCGACCCAGCCTTAGCCATTGGACTCTTCGGCACGAAACACAAGTACGCATAAACCGCCTATCCATGGCTAAATTACCATAATATGTTCAATATCGTCTTGGAAGATCATGTAAATCTTTTGCACACAGGCATCGGAGGCCGGAGCGAATGCACAAGTAACGCAAACACCCAACGACATAACGGACCAGGCACCCCCCGCCCCCCCCGAACCAGCTGAACCATGATCATTGGTATAGCCAGAGTGATAGGGAAGTCGGAAGTCACAAAGTCCAGGCGATGAAGATCTGTTATTGTCCTTAAGGAAGAACAAGCAGGCGGAATTCTTAGGCTGGTAGTCAGCCCAAGTGACACTCTCAAACCAAAGACTTTGAACGCGACACGACCCCAAGACTCAAGGACGCGGTTCCCAAGACAAAAAACAAAAGCAGGGAGAAAAGTAGTATAAACGTGTTCTTCCTTTGTACGGATTCGCTGAGCAGAATCCCCCTAGTTGCGATGACGGCGCTGGGCATAGAAAAGAAGTTGACAGCAACCGATCACATGACCCATCAGACCAAAGGCCTGCTCGACTGGCGCAAGCCTGTCACAGAACCCGGTAAATCTACACTGGTGCTGGCACCTATTTCTTCATTCCCAATGGGAAGCCTTGCCAACCGCAGAAAAGCCTCCTGTTCTTTGGCTTTGGCTGTTTTGGTTTTCTCCCCACTCCCCAAGTCCCGAGTATCGTTGGAATGCTCTCCGGCTTTGACTTGACTCGCATCCTGGTCAACGTAATCCCATCGTAGACCATGTCGACGAGCCTGTTCTTTCTTGATATTCTCTTGGAGCTCATTAGAAGTATCCAACTGGACGGTGTACATAGGGTTCCCGTTCTCGCCAGCAGATGGAGACATGCCACCTGGTTTGTAAAGAGGTATAGAGCGGCAGGCCGATACCAAGGCGCAGTGAAATCTGTTACTCCGCTGAGAGCGGAGTTTATCGTCTGACCAATTATTCCGATGGGTGAAGGCAATTCTGAGCTCCATTTTGTTGAGCTCATGGAGACTTGCAACGTTCAAACCTAGTGTCTCTGGGACATAGTCTCTAGAGTTTTGGGCAAGAAACTCTTCCAGCCTGCCTCGAAGCCGCATGATATCCGCAAAACTGGTCCTGAAATCTACGAATAAGGAGAGGCCTTGACGATTTATGCCGGACCTGGTGTAGTTCTCTACTCGCTTTTGAGTGAGCTGTTCATTAGAAATTTGCAAATCGCAGTTGTTGTCAAGTCGTCTGAAAACTGTGTAAAGAAGAGACTGGCGTTTGACTACACAAGCAACGCCTGTAGTTGCACCAGCGTTACTGACATTGATGACGTCGCCGATGTCGTACGGGTGGTCGAAGAAAACAAAGACAATGCCCACGAGAAGGTGGTGGAATGTCCGACCAACAGCGAACGAGAGACCGATAGCCAAGGAAGATAGGACACTCTGAATTTCCTTCATCGCCGGTACGTACGCGATCACTGTTCAGTTTGTTAGAAATAAACCCTCTGGAAAGTGGACTTGGGGGACTCACTAATGAAAAAGATCATGACCGCGGCGATTATGAAGAGACAGAACCAATCGAACGTGTTAATGCAGTGGTCCATGTTATTGATATTTCGGTAGATGTCCTGTCGCGTTTTTCCAGCTTCTAGGGTGATCGCGGTAAACTCTTCGAGGCGGATATCATGACTTTGACCTTCGGTTAGGGTGGTGAAGATTTTGGTGGCTTCCGGTGCACGATGAGGGCCAAGGATTTCCTTGATGTCGTTCAGAGTGAGGCTCGACTTATCTTGAGCGACACAGGAAAACCAGATGCGCCTTGCAAGTGCAGACGCCGAGTCTTGGTTTCCCCAAGCACGCTCTATAATAGCGTAAGTACTCGCTGGACGCATCCAATGGGCATTGGGATCGTCGGAAATGAAGTTTCCAAATAGTCCAACAAGCTTGTAACCGTCAAGACCTAGTCGGGCAAGGTAGCTTGAAACCCTCGTTCGCTGTTGCTTATGGCTCCCGCCGTTGGCATTGCGGATGACCATGTCCTCCTCATCAAAAGTGCCGCAGTGGACGGGGTGAAGATATGTTGATGCGTCGAAAAGTGTAATAAGGGCATTCTGGATGTCTTTCGTGCGAGTAAGCTTGGAGTGATTTGCTCGATAATGGTAGTGCACGGAGATGTAGGATATCAATAGTTTCTCGACAAAATAGAAGGCCACCCAAAGGGTAGCTTGCTCTAAGATGTCAGCCACGACATCATCCCAAGCAAATGTGTTCGGATCCTTGTTGACGTTTACAGCAAGGAGTTCGTTTGTATTGATGCACTGGAGGCACAGAAATGGTTAACCCCACCACGGAGATACGGCCGACTATAACTTAGGTACTGACTTACAGCGGCAAAGAAGATAAAGGTCACAATTGTGGTACCTAGAAAGCAAATCGGGCGACGCATGAACTTCAAGATTCTCCAGTACCTCTGATGAGAAGAATTGATGTATCTATATAAAGCGGGGTTAAACAACGGGTCAGGCTTTTGGTTGCAATTCGTGTACTGACCTTGCAATAAACCTAAAAATGTATGGCAAGCCGAGTCCCAGGCAGTCGAAGATAACGGCTGCCACCCATGTGACCTCTAACCATAAGCTAATGTAGTAGACTAGGTTGCGATACTGTTTGTCCTGAATTGCCTGTGACGTGGAGTCTTCGGCGAAGTCTGCGTCGTTGCTCAATGTAACGAGGGGAATGAGAAGTGCGATAAAAACGATGATGACGATTATACAGTATCGAACTGCCCAGCAGAAAAGACGTTTTCTGTAATGAGCTACAACGGCGGGCGGCAGAGGTAGCGGTGACGCGTTGATGTTCCCAGGGGTTTGAAGTCCCTCTGTCGCTGGCGAGGCCTTTGTTTCTACCCAATTCTTCATAGCGTGGTGCCCTGGGGAGATTTGATCAGGCTGGGAGGACAGAAACGACGTTGAGGGAGGTATAGCAGCCGTAAAGCTGGGGCAAGATGAGGGAGAAACAGGATGAAGCTGGGTATCTGGGAGCACACTTTCGACTTGCTCACTTGGAAGAGGTTTTCGATAGCTGGGAAGCAAGCTGCCATTAGAACCAAACCCCATTTTGCGTTTCTCTGATCACATGCAGTGCATCTGGCAGAAAAGAAACCGGAGGCTCTCAATATTTTATATAGTGCAGGGTTAGAAAATGTCTGCCTGATGTTGGCCATTCGGTATTCATAGGGCTTGAGCTAGAAATCAAGACTACTCTTGTGTTGAATTTAATCGACGGTCTTGGCATGCTTCATATACAGCCACTGGCAAAAGACAGGCGAAGGATGAATATGAAAGGAGCACCGAGATCAGCCCCCTTGAAATACGTGCATGCTCCCCACGCTCGCATATCGTTGCGTGGTTGGGCGCTTAGCACGCTGTGTTGTGAAATAGTAGTGCTGACAAGCGCTACTTAGTGGTGGCACCAAGGTCCTACATCTCCACAATCTCGAGGATAATGTAGTGCCTCAGAATTAGATGAAGCGTTAGTCACACGCGGCTGGGAGCTAAGGATCAGCAAGCGCTTTGTGCTAACCGAACCGTGCTGAATTAGCAGCGGGCGTTGATTGAAGCTCAAATTCTCTCGAAGCTAGACCTCGCTCAAGGTCAAGATCATGGCCATCAGCCTGGACCACAAACTATCCCATCCGTTGCTGGAAATGGCCCCCCCCCCCCCCCCCCCCCCACACCCATCCCTCCTGTTTTTTTTTTCTTTCCTTTTCTTCCCAGAATGTTCATATGCCTTAACTTGAAGTAGCTACAAATTGAGAGGCAGGAGGTCGCGGTATGCACAGGTATTGAGCCTCGATGACGAGACTCTCAAGTCTTGCTCTAGTGCTGGTAGACAAAACGTGGAAGCGTTTCAACACCTGGGAGCTAGCCACTAATACATCACATATTACAGAGTACTGGATGTTGACTAAAACCTGTATTGGCTTTCATATTGCTTGACGTCTTTGCTACAATGCACTTAAAGTAATTCTTCTACGAAGGAAAAACCTATTCAAGGAGATGGCGGATCTTGGCCCTCCGGGTCTGTAAGGACTGCAGGCTCAAAAGACCGCAAACATCCAGGATCCAGACTTCGCTTGCCATTGATTTGAGCCGCTCCTTGTAAGTCCAATCTATCGGGCGCGGTAATACCAAAGCTCTACTAATGCTCATCCCACGTCTAAAGAGCTCAAGAGGAGCTGCGACAGCAGATGGCTTATGGGATTTGTCCTTTTGAGTTACTCACCTACTGGAAAGGATCAAGTGTCTTTCGGGAAGTTCGCAACGATTGAAAAGACGCGTTGAGTTTTAAATATCTGCCAGAGCACAAGCAAGTCAAACTGGCAGCAAATATGTCGAATCAGTAGGCACATGGCTTGGGAATCGGTTCTCTTTAGGCATGCCGAAGAGGCACTATCTCCTCGCACTAACCTATGATCTTCGCGAGGGCAGTAGTCTTCTTCTACGACCCATAAGCCTTGATGATTATAACATCTGATAATAAGACCCTGTACTGCGATGACTGGCCTATGCTTGCACGCGCAATCGGTAATTCGCCACAAAGCGAGCATGTCACCCTACGACGGGTGTGGCGCGTGCGGCGAAGCAACGGGACAATACCTCTGGAGCATTACAAAGCGAGATAGCTGGTGGAAGGCATATACAGTAGAAAGTGGCTTATTTCCTCTAAATAGGAGACCCATATAGGGGTAGTATCTATGTACCGTACGAGACGGGCAATCGGCTTGTGGAAAGAGGTATCGCACGGTAGTATTCGGCAGCGCCACACGTGGCGCTGCGACAATAGGTCTATTTGAGTTCAATGTAACCGTCTCTGGCACGAGATGGAGGTTTTTGCTTGGTGTTTTTCCAATCTGTTAACTTGCGGAGAGAAACATGTGGAAACTTTGATAAGTGCTCTAAAAGCAAGACGAAAGAGCTCTGTCCTCTGGAGTCCGAGCCTGCCTCGCCTTGCGTATAGAGGTCGCTGCCGCGGAGTCACAGCCGGGATCCGGAGCCCCAGATTGGGGTTCGAATTTCAGTTCGGGTATCCGTAAATTGTAATGGTGGTTGGGATCTTTCACGTGCCATGTTGAAGAATCACCCCGATTTTCGTCATGTTGCGCAATGATGGCGTGCGAATCCGTATTAAGGAAAGGACGGGCATTTGTGTAGCCTATTACCGAAACTTACATTTTGAAACACGCTTCACAAGACAGAATGAGCCATTGGAGTACCCGCATTCTTATCAAGCATCAATGTCCGTGGACACGCGCCCTCGGCCGATGGCACCTCATAGTCTCCCTGTCAAGTCAACGCGTATCTGTTCCGCCTGGCCGGACAGCCGAACTATGGCAGGACTACCTTCCGCTATCACTTGACGTTCTTGTTAAACAACGTGATCTCGATACTCATTCTGTTTCTACCTTAAGTAGCGCGAAGGCTGTCATCTAGGATAAATGTCAATCTTATTCATCGTTCACCGCCTTGTTCAGTGCTTTCACCTACGCTCTCACATTGACACCAGTCAGCAACAGCTTTAATCAAAATGAGCAGCCTCGAAGACCCAGAGCTGCAGCCGCTGATTACACCTACGTCACAACAATTGTCATCCACGAAAAGTTCAAATACCAAGCAGCTCATACCCGGGACACAAGAGCCGGATGAAGAAAGTTTTGGGACTAGGGATGTGCTTCCATCACGCTCAGTTGAGGACGATGTTCTCCCAGAGACATCAACACTCGGTCGCACGTTGACATGGCAAAGCGCCTACATTCTCGTTATCTCAAGAGTGATTGGTAGCGGGATCTTTGCTACTCCAGGCGCAATCCTTCGCTCAGTTGGTAGCCCCGGCCTGTCACTCTCACTTTGGATTGTCGGCGCAATAATTGCTGCATGTGGATTGATGATTTCCCTTGAGTTTGGTTCGATGCTACCACGGTCCGGGGGAGACAAAGTGTACCTGGAATTCACATATCGTCGACCCCGTTTTCTAGCATCGACCCTCATCGCCGTTCAGGCCGTTCTTCTGGGATTTACAGCGAGTAATTGCATCGTTTTCAGCGAATATCTTTTGTTTGCACTGGGCGGCGAGAACCCCAGCGATTTCCTTCGAAAAGGGATTGCGGTTGCACTGCTCACACTCGTCACCCTGATTCACGGTTGTTTCCCACGTTTCGGCATCAAGCTGCAAAACTTTTTAGGTTGGATCAAAGTCGCCCTCATTATCTTCATGATAATGTCAGGTCTCTATGTTGTTTTGTTCAGACCAACACCAGAATCCGCTCAGAAAACAACTGGAGTACTCGGCTGGGGAGACTTGTGGGAAGACACCAATTGGAATTGGGGTGTAATTGCTACATCCTTATTCAAGGTTTTCTATTCATACGCAGGGCTCGACAACGCCAATTACGTGCTGAATGAGGTCAAAGACCCAGTTCGAACATTGCGATCTGTGACAATGGCGGCGTTGACTACGGCATGTGGACTTTACGCCCTTATCAACGTGGCATACTTTCTCGTCGTTCCCATTGACGAGATAAAGCAGAGTGGCGAGCTGATAGCGGCTCTCTTCTTTGAACGAATATTTGGTGCGGGCGTTGGGAAAACAATCCTTCCACTGGCAGTTGCTCTGAGTGCAGGGGCAAACGTTCTCGTCGTCGCCTTCTCAGCGGTAGGAACTCTTCGCGTTAATTGTTTGCTGTGGATACTTACTTCTACGATGACTTCAGGCGCGAACAAAACAAGAAATTGCCAGACAAGGTTTTCTCCCGTTTTCCGACATTTTATCATCGACAAAGCCATTCAACTCACCTCTAGGCGGATTATTTGTCCACTACATTCCATCATTTCTGGTTATCACGTTGCCACCTTCTAGGGACGTCTACTCGTTCATCCTGGAGGTTGAAGGCTACCCCGGGCAAATCTTAGCATTGGCCATTGGTGCAGGACTTCTATGGCTACGCTTCAAACGACCCGATATCAAGCGTCCATTTAAAGCATGGGTCCCAGCAGTAGTCTTACGAATCGGCCTAAGCATGGCTCTGCTTGCTGCACCTTTTTTCCCGCCGGATACAAAGCCGCCAAACGGGCTATTTTACGCCACGTATGCAATAATCGGCGTGAGCATGTGAGTTGAAACATTCGAACCGACAGTAGAGCCTTTGAAACTGACACTGCTATCTCATAGCATTATAGCTGGAGTGATATATTGGTACATTTGGACTGTCCTCTTACCCCGGTGTGGGGGTTATCAGATTGAGGAAAAAGAAGAGATTCTCAGTGATGGGACAACTATTACAAAACTTGTTCATACAGAAATTTAGAAACAGGACAGAGGCTACGTCTCCCACTTGGTCCCTTCTGTTTCAATCTTGCCGTACTGTGCTAAAGGCCCAGGCGTCTACTTAGAATCGACTCTTCCTCTCGCACTGATAATAAGCGTATATTTTATTGTTGAATGATCTTGCACTGCGATTATGTGAACGTATCAAAAAGCCACTCACACTGGAGACTCCGCGGCCATGGCAAAAGCCACGTCTGTGGCGGATAATGAAGGTGTGCTGGCAAGGATCTGTGATTATCAATTCAGATGCTCGTGTCGATTACACCATTTTGCTCCGCAACCATAAGTCGAGCCGAGGCATGTTAAGCACATAAGGTCGATCGAGCTTACATGTATGCGATGAAGATGCGGATTTGAAATCACAACCGCATGGGTGTTGTCTCACCCCTTAAGGCAAACCTTGGTCCAATTGGCATTGCAATGTGGTCACACGAGATGATTCAGCTGGGGTTATGATTATCAATCCACTATCGCCCACGGCCGGACGAAGATTGCGTGCTTGGGGTGAGTGTGCGGATTTGGGGTGGAATGAAACTTAAGCGTGGCTCATTGGAAAAGATTTATAGCTGGAGATCTGCAGGGAATTTTAGACCACAAGCAGCTAACTTGCTGGTATTGACACATTCCCCCCACACCCTCATCACCACATATTTGACCTAGGAGTGAGCATGACAGCAGCAGAGGTTCAAAACGTCCTCACGTCCCCAACACTGGATTTTCCTCAGCATTCCCAACGCCACAGCGCAAAGGGTCTGCATGAGTCGGATAAGAGACACAAAGGAGTAAAAGCAACCCTAAATTACCACAGAGACAATGAGGATGGATCACCTCCCCATCCTACATACGTCGACAGGCCGGAGACGTACGATCGACCTTTCCAAGCTCATTCTGTTATCATAAGCGATCTCACAGGTGACGAAGAGCGGTTTTCGCTGGACAGAAATGGGTTTCAAATTTATCGCAGCCAGTCGACTGAGAAGCAATTTCAAGACGACGATCAGATTAAGTCGTCTTACTATGCAGAAGTTGAGGAGCTTTTAAAGGATGTGTAAGTGGAATTCGTGGAATGACTTCGTCCGACGGTCGACCAAACCTCCCTTGCCGTGATGGTAACTAATAAATGTGTTCAGGACGGGTGCCAGCCGTGTGTTTATCTTCGACCATACTATTCGCCGCCAGCCGCCCGGATCAGCAACGCAAGAACGAGCGGGTCGCGGACCAGTGCAACGAGTTCATATTGATCAATCGTATAAGGCTGCTCTTTCCCGAGTTCCACACCACCTTCCAGAAGATGCCAACCACTTGCTCAAGGGTCGAGTACAGATCATCAACGTCTGGAGGCCCATAAAAACTGTACAAAGAGACCCACTCGCCTTCGCGGAAGCTGGGTCTGTTTCTGAGTCTGACCTGGTCGTGACCGAATTGATTTATCCTAATCGGCGAGGAGAGACATATGCAGTCAGGCACAACACCAACCACATGTGGTACTACAAGCATGGTCTGACACCGGACGAAGTGATTCTCATCAAGTGCTTCGACAGCAAGACGGATGGGAGAGCTAGAAGAGTGCCCCACACAGCTTTCGTCGATCCCACGGCTAGCCCAGATGCACCACCAAGAGAAAGCATAGAGGTTCGAGCTCTTGTTTTCCACCCTGAAGACCAAGAGTAGGTCATGGATCCATTTGTATTTCCTTTCTTCGGCTTCAGTGTACACGCAAGGTGCCACCGGACCCTTGAACTTGAGCAAGCTTCAGCCTTCACGTCAGTAGCGGTATTATGACGCGTAGCAAAGCCATCATTCTTTTAGCAAAATAGGATTCAAACTACTTAGTCCAGCTGTAAATAAGATTGGCACTAGATTGAATACTGTAGGTACTTTGCTTTACTTTACTTAGCAGGGTGGCAAAAAATTCAAAGCACCTAGCATACTTGATAGCCTTGCGCCTTTTTGATAACTCGAACTGCCACGGACTGGCTGTCTTGGGTGTGGAAGTGAAGGTTGCTTAAGGTATTTTTGATATAATATGTCTATTCTCATCGTCAACAAACGTCTCTTTCCAGATCAGGTGGATAATTGCTAAGCATATCAATGGGGTTTGTAAATTCGCGTTTGAGCTTTGCATGCAGCACGAAGGACTAAATTCTGAAAACAGCATAGCTCAATTTGATCGTTACATCCTGAGTAATTGAAGAGTAATCAATGTCGGCCATTTGTTACGGGCTCTGCAATATCTCTGAGATTCACACCGTCTGAATCAGCCTGGATCTCATCCAACTTCTTAGCCTTCTTCTTCTTCTTCTTGTCTTTCTTGGAAGTCGGTGTCAGGCTATTTCCTAGCGCCGATTCCAGTGTGAGTTCTCCACCCAGGTCCACCTCCGGCTCAATTGCGTCTGACCACGTAATAGGAATTGGCTTTGACGCAACTGATGGCACAAGCCGAGGCGAAGGTTGAGATTCGCTCGGATTGACAGAAATTGAATAGTCGCAACAAATTTCGATCAAGCTCTTGACCAACAGCCTCGAGTATGCTGTCGTATTGTTGAAACATCCCAACAGGCCAGATTTGTTCAAAGAAGATGAGTCTTCGAACAGGTGGCGGATGCGTCGCTTGATGAACGCCGAGAACCATGGGTCATCCTCTCCCAAAGAGTGACAGGCATCTGACGCTAGTGCAATAACCTCAAGGGCAGGCAGTGCTTCTGCGGAAAGAGAAATATTCCCTTTGGCAAGCTCGGCCAGAAGAGGAATTTTATATGCCTGCGAAGCGGCATAAACATGGAGACTAGTTCCAAGGTAGGTGGCATTTTTCGGTGCGTCGAGAGAATCCTTTGCCCGCAAGGTTTGCCATGACCCCGTATGGAGGAAGTGAATGAGCACATGGCCTGCTTCGTCTGGTATATGCTTCAGTCGTATTTCACCATGGCTTCGGTGGCGAATGTTCTCTAGTTCTTGACAAAGAAGGTTGCTAGGCACCCTAAAAGGCTGACCACTCTCGAAGTAGACGTTGCATGCCGGACTTGCGTACGGCCTTTGAAGTATTGTTAGCCAAAGACGCCAGATCTTAAGGTAGGAGGGTATCCAGAGTAAACATACGACACCTCGGGGCCTACATCCTGCGCATTTCCCACAGAAGCCTCAAGAATGTGATTGCCAGTATTATCGAGCGGCGAGGCTGTTGACCATCCGTTCGCGTCCATGGTTTTTAAATGTATATCTCACAGGAAAATGGAGTCAAACAGAATGATGATATGACCGGCTTTTATGACCTCGCTCTTCAGCCATGGTTGAACAACGAAGACAAGCGACTAAACTTGTCCCGTACCCTCCTCCGGCCTTTGGCACAACCCTAGATAGTCGTTGGGCTTGGACTTTGTTGGCTAAAACTGAGCGAGAGCACACCCACTAGTTCTGCTATTGTGGATGCCACGTTGAAGCGCAGCAGGCTGTCACGACATTTTCACACCGAGTTCTACGACGATTGGTTGCCCTGCAAAGCCATTCGTCAATCAGCTACCTTGGAACACCTTGGACTTAAAAATCTTACGTGATCTGAATGTAGTGTACTTATTGCTGGCGAATACAACCCGCATGCAGCGGGCATGCATTCGTTCCCAATGGCGCATTAAGGGGGATACCCCGCGTTATTCTCACCACACCTGCGTGTCCTGTTGGCAAGAAACGCACGCTCTACACCCTCTCACTGTGCTGTCACCAATCATACGCTGTGCTTTCGTCAGGCCGGCTTCAGGTGCTGCAGGCAATGTCCCGCTTAGATGCTGTCATACACAAATTTCGGACTGATCATGAACTTTCGAGGTCTGGGCCTTCTCAACCAAGGGGAGATATGGAATAATGCGGGGTTCAATTGCAAAATTTGCTGCATCCCCATGATTTGCATCGATGTTTCTGCAAGTGATGGGAGCCCAACCTAGAGTGACTTCCTGTTAAATAGGGCTTGGCTCAGTATGTTCTTACGATGTCAGACCTAACATGATGGCAGGGCTTTGGAATGTTCATTGCTAAGAGACGCTGGGAGGACATTTGTTATTGGATCAAGAATCGTACCTAGGTATTATGTGGGAGGTCGTATTGGCCCATTTAGAAGAAACAGTTACATACTTTAGTGAAACCCTGGCCCAATGACGTAGGTGTTTAAAGGAAAAAATGCATCTACCGATACGTCGACACTTGAAATGTTCATAAGTCATCTGCTATTCAACACACCCTCGTTTTCTTCTTGGCTAGAGAGGTTCAGCTAAGTGAGGCTTTGTGTTCCCCTCACTTTGCTTCACTTATGCTCGCCTTGTCTCAGCTCGCTTCACTTCCAGGGGCATTATGCAAGTCATTAAGATCGTATACATAGCCTGCATTGGGTGTGCGTCAATTACTGAGCTGGTTTCTCTCCTATTGAATTCCAGTTCGGGCTGAAGCATATTGTTCGGTGCGTAACATTCACACCACCAGCCCTTTCAGGCTGGACAGCGCCTAACCCTTCAGGTAAATGTAATACCAGGCAACGACAAAAACACAGATGTAGAAGGAACTTCGCTCTAGGCTCTTCTCTTCCTGTTCCCTATCTTCTTCACCACCTGAGACTGACCCAGACTCAAAGTACTTTAAGTAGTATTGAGTCGATGGAGGCACCGACGCGAGCGAGAACTAATGGAAGGTCCCCGGAAGAAGACTAGAGGTAGGATAGAAAGTCAAGAGGATGTCTATTATCCATGAAGGTCAATACTACCAATGGCCATAAGTCTATTGGCATAAGGTGGTTTAACATTGGCCGTGCGGGAAAGATTAAAGCTTTAGACTTATCAGCAAAGTCAATGGGAATTTATATGTAGAAAGTTACTACCAAATCCATTGACTACATGCTACCTGAAGTTCGTGATATGCAAGGCAGAAAAGGATCAACAATATAACCCGCATTGCGTTGTGTTGTGGCAGTCCCCCTGTCGATATGTAGGTCCTCGTGACGGCTGAGTGCTCTACTATGTCTAGCACAAAATATCAGTTGATCCAGAGGTGGGAGTGCCCCGAGTAAGCTCCGCGAGCTTATGCCGGTCATCGTCTAAGTAGTTGAAGTTCCCCTCACATGGCCAAGAATATTCATTGGTGGCTGTTTGATCACTATTAGCATCCAAGATATTTGACGGGGACTTCCAATTATCTACTAAGCTATCGCTCAATCTACTATCCCACTCAATCACAACGTGAGTAAGAATCGAAGAGGGAGATTCCGACTGCTCGCGCCTACGAATACTGTATAATTGCCCTCTTGAAGCGTCCAAGTCTGAGCCACAACATCCCAAACGCTAAGTTCCCTTCTTGTCAGTTTGAATTGGACAGTGCCACTCTCTCCGATATTGAGTGGCACCTTCTCAAAACCTCGAAGCTGTTTCGGGGGGCTGTTTGGAATCGATACGTATAGCTGCACAACTTCCTCACCAGCGCGATGTCCAGTATTGTTCAATGTTGCCTCGACATCCAGTATCACCTCCCATAAGGCCTCAGTGCTTGGCGCATCACCTATCAATATATCTGTCGCCTTGACCCGTAGGGAAGAGTAGGTAAATTGGGTATACGTCAACCCAAACCCAAACTCAAATCTCGGCTCGATGCCACTTTCGTCGAAGGCACGATAGTCGACATATACCCCTTCCTCGAAATCGCATTGGGGACTGGTGGTATTTGATTGCCTCCCACAAGGTGCATACACGGAATAATCGCTTTCATTCCGAGCCAAAGTATACGGAAGCTTACCAGAGAATGAAGCCTCACCGTACAGAAGCTCAACAAGGGCCGGTCCACTGTCTTGACCGGGCAGATGGGCGATGACTGTAGCCGTGATATTTGGGTGATCAATCCACTGATCAACTAGGCGAATGCCAGCTGCATGAACGACCACAATTGTGTTGGCGCACTTATCGGCCACACTCAAGACGAGGCCATCACTGAAGTCATCGTGTAAGCCATCTCGATCCCATCCTTCGGTGGCCATGGCGTTGATGAAAACCAGGCAAACATCGCTAGCAGCATTGACATCGGGATCCCCAGAAGTCAGATCCCAATTGACCCAGGTGCCATCTTTTGCGGCTCTGTGTTGCAGTGCACTCAACGGCTAGAGCACAGTCAGCCCAGAATCATTCAGCTGTGGGGTATGGCGCTCACATCGAGTATATAAGACGGTGCATTGGCTGCAGCACGTCCCCCACTTATAATGGTCCCTCCCTTAGCTGCTTGGTCAAAATGCCTCTCTGTTCCCAGTACGGCCTGAGCCATCTCAGGGGAGGAGTAGTAACCAAGCTCAAAGAGTTTATCGGTGTTCTTCGTCGAAGGCACTGTAGCATCATATCCAAATATGGACATCATTTTCGGGGCTCCGCGGAAAGGCAGTGAACCATTATTGTTCTTCACCAACACATGGCCGGCAACGGCTCCGCTGAGTATTGTTGTTCTTGCTTTAGGATCACGAGCGTCGATCTGATCGTGCGGCTCAGTCAGATTCTTCATGCCAATGCCAGGGATTGGGAAGTTGGTATCTTGCCCAACAAGATACCAAGCTGCTAAGATCCTTTTTGAACGTCAGATACAAACAATTGCCAGGAATTGAGGAGGGGCTAATACCTTGTGGCCATGTCATCTATCCTTGAAGTATCCACTGTTCCATTGTTGACTGCAGTTGTGAGATTCAAGCCCCAATTCCCCCCAAGGGGCATGACCATGTCTAAACCGGCATTGGCGCTCTCCAATTTGTGCTGTGCGTTCCAGTCGAGAAGAACAAACCCCTCAAATTGCAATTCTGTCTTGAGAATCCCGTTCAATAGCTTACTATTCTCGCATCCATATGTGTTGTTGATTCTGTTGTATGAGCACATGATCGACGCCGCTCCCGCTTTAATCCCATCGACAAATGGCCAAAGATAGAATTCGTGTAGAGTTCTATCGTCAATGTTGGATGAAGCTGCTTCTACACCGAAGTATGGCCTTCTGAAAGTCTCTTGCTCATTTCCGATAAAATGCTGGTAATACACATCAGCCCATCACGGATCGTAGGCAAAGTCCAGGGAGCATGCCTTCTCAAGGACCTACCTTGAGGTTGGCGATCACACCGGCTTCCTGATGCCCGATAATGGTTTCGGCATTCAGCTGTCCGGACAAGTATGGGTCAACGGAGAAGCCCTCCCAGTTCCGTCCGCCCAGTGGAGTTCGGCCTAGGGGACCAGCGTTGGGTCCTAGCAAGACGTTGACTTGAACACGGGTTAGTGATGAAACAAGTGCACTTGAATTTTAGTGACATACTCCCTTTGGTCTTGAATTCTTTTCCCATGTAATAGCCACGTTGGTAAGTCAAGTTTCTGTCCCAGCTAGCACCTACATGTATGGCCGACGGATATGAGTTGACTAGGTCTGTCGCTCGAACGCCATTCCCGGCGTCATGTAAACACATGCCTGGCCAACCAAGACGAGGGATGGATCCAGTGTTACCCGCGCAGACGTTGTCACCAGCATAGCCACGTGTGATGTTTACCTTCTCTTCAAGGGTTAACTGGCTGACCAAGTTGGTTGCACGCTCATACGCATTCTTCCAGATCCCCTTTCCTTGACCTGACGCTATGCCAGAGCTATGTTAGCAAGAGAATGTTACCAATCTGGGCTTTAGGTGCAGTGGTACACTCACGCGATGGGAAAACGGGTGGCGACTGTGCAAATGCTGTCACTCCTAGTGTAGGCGCGAATGCGCAAAGCAAAGTCAACAATCCTGAAGAGAACCACATGTTCGCTGCGAGACATGTGTGATGGTAAAGTTTGGAGCGTTTCTTTGTGGAATTCCGCGATACTTCTACCTAACGCCTACATACTGCGGCAATCACCCGACGTGCTGCCGCTACACCGCTATGAGACAAGTCTGCTGGACGTGTCGATCAGCCGAGATCTCACGTACTACCAAGAAAATGCCCTTGATAGAAGCCAGGGGTTCTGTTTATTGATCCACTTGGTGGGGCCCAAGGCGCGCAAAGCCGGATGTGACCCCTGGGAATGCGGAGTTACTCCCCCTTACCCCGCATAATAAGGCGAATACCCAAGTTGCAGTACGGACAATTCGGAAGTCATCGCCTCGTAGAGGAACATCTGATTGTGCCCGGATGATGGCTCGGCCTGGATGCCCCAACTACAGAAACAAGTACTTACATGTAGGCAACTGTTCAATCGCAAGTGATGTATTTCAAACGCAAGAAAAATGTCGCATCGCCTTCCAGCGTGAAGATCCTCCAATCAGGTCTTCATTGTCTCAGTACGCATCAGCCGTATCCCAACTCCTTGCGCCAATTCCCTATGCCCAGTCCGGAATATTCAGGCGCTCCTCTACGGATCTACGACTAGTTATACCACGTTTTACACCCGGTGGAAGAGAGAATTGACATACCTAACATGACCGTAAGCCATGCTGAGGCCCATCACGCCGAACTTCAAAGCCGTTGTGGGTGAAACGGACGCCCTCAAGTTGAGTTTGGGTTTACCCTACTGAGTACTGGAAATAATTTTCCAAGCCCGGGAACGACATTAGCTCGGCAAATGTAGAGGGAACGAACTCCGGGATGAAGTTCGTTCCTTCTATATGGGAATATTCCGGAGCTGATTTACATCTCTCCGCCAATCCTGCCGCGTGCGTTGCCTCGTCGTCTCTGAGCGAGTGATCCGGGTCAATCTGCAGTGCGACCCAGGTGCAAAATTGGTCATAACCCGCACCACCCAATGCGGGGCTTTCACCATGACTTGTGCCCAGTTTGGCCAACGCCATTTCTAAAATCTCCAGGCCCTGTTTCTCTGAGCTTTTGGTATTCGCAAAGACGCCACCAGACATAATTTTTAATAGTATAATCCCTTGGTCGCATATGTCCTCCAGGTCTGCCGTCTTGTTGAGGACACGGTGAGCTATCAAAGTTACTACTGCAGCGCAGCAAGAAGTGAACTCAGTATACGAGGATTTGGAAAGCCCGAATTCATCGTTGAGCTTTTGACAGAGCCGTATGGATGATATGGCGCTTTTAATACAGTGTTCTATGAGGACTTTGCGGGTCGTGACCCATTCGTGGATAGACAGCTCGTCGGCACTAAAGTCGTCAAAAATAAAGGAGCGGCCCATGAAAATATGCACCAGGTGATATGTCAGTGCAAGGTGTATGTTTGATCGAAAGAGTGGTCGGGCTGGCGTAAAATCCCTGCAGAAGGTCTCGGATGGGAGATTGTCCCACCATTTCTCTAACATCTGGTGTACTTTGAGGGCATCATTAGCTACTTGCTTGAGCTTTGGCCTATCGGCTCTTTTCAAAACCAAGCTGGGAAGATTAGCTATGCACTATTGTATGAAGAGCATGAACTTGAGAACGAACATGGTGTCACGAGCCATCTCCATGATCTCGGTAAGATCCTTTTGCGCCATGGCGTTGTGAAATGTATTGGGCCTTCCGGATGATTGTAGCTCAAGGAAGTCGACTGGGAGCTCAGTGCCTATCTGCGACCGCTGAATTGATGCTGGCCGTCCATGCAGTATGGATACACGCCTATGATCAGTCAGATGCATTGTTCAAATGAAGAGAGATGTGGTCTCCGTCATTCTTCTAAGTCACAGTGTAAATTTATGAGATATCTTGAAAACCTTCACTCACCTTTCTAGAGTGTACACTGTCCACCAAATGCGGTTGCTCATCTCTGTGTCTCGTGTTTTGTATGGACTCTTCAAGTGCATGTTGTTGTGTATCGCTATTTTCATAGCCATCCCATAATAACTGCTAGCCAAGCCTGCAGGATCTACTGGGAGTGTGTACACGCCCATCAAAATGAATGCCTGCACGCATTGTGAACTCCCAATTGTCAACAAGTCGGGGATCATGGACGTTGATTTTCGATAGAAAGACAGCGCCAAAGCATCATCGACCGCTGAAGCAACATCGAGTTGCCCGTTCCTCGAATGCCTACTTTTCACCTGAGGCGCTAAATGTGCGAACTGGGTGCTGACGCAGAATACCATGAGTACGGTACACACCCATGGAGCATCGGCAGTCGAGAGCGGTGCAGCGATACCTGTATACATCTCAGATATTCGTCTCCGTATCTGTTCCTCATCTACATAGAAGTAGTTTGTTTGAGAAACGCTGAAAAAGACATCGAGTAATATGGTGGCGATATCGACAGGTGGAAATAGAGAAACTGCGTCCTGAATGGCGAATGGCCATGATAGCAGCTGCTCGGCAGTAGCGACATTAGCTGATTGGTCCTGAAGCTGTAAGTATTAGTCACGAACTTGAAAGATGGCGAACAAGAACGCATCGGCAAGAGCGTACTTTCTTAAGCGTTCCAAGGTCGGACCCTAACTTTTGCTGGATCTGGCGGGTGAAGTCCGAATGAGAAAAGTCGTGGTATGCTGTGAAGCAGTTAGTGACAGATAACCTAGTCTTGTCCCAGTGACGCGACTTACCCGGTATCGAGGCGGAATTGGTCGCCTCTTCGGCTATAAAAATCTTGTCTGGGACCTCTTGATCGTTCCAGTTATCTTGATCTTGTGATTGAGTAGAGCCCTCCTCGGCCGCTTTGAGAGCCACCAGAGACTCTACGAGCCTCTTGGGGCTGAAGTCCTGTATGTTCATAAAGTGTTGGACAATGGCTTCCAAGTTCCGAATTCTTTCGATATCAAAGAACTCTTTTGGATCTATGACGGCCGCTGGCTGCTGAGGTGCGGGTCGGCGTCTTGATCGCCTGTACGCATTGGTGAATAGGCAGTTACGGCCGGATTTTACACACCGGTCACATGGAGTTCCACCATTGCACTTTTCTTTCAGGCGCCGGCAGTTGTCGCATCTGCAAATTGTATAAGCTTGGCTTGATCTGAGCGTGAAACGCAGTAATTCGATACAGACGCTGGTGTAGACCTTCTCTTAGTTCTGGACGCCACGGGTATTTTGCTGCTCGTGGACAGGGGTGATGTTGGAGATTGGCGGCCTTGAACAGTTTGATCCGACTCGGCGGGTCCTGACATGGCGAACCGGAAAGTGAGTCAACCGCCTCGACCAACCCGTGAACGATTTGGTAGATTGAATCCACGGCGTCTACATCCAAATGGTCGTGAAATAGGAAGTCAAACAGGGGGTTGAAGAGTGACCGCTGTTCTATCGAGTGTTGCCGGTCTCGTGCCGGTAGTTAAAGCGGAAAATGTCAGCCACGGGGCGGGGAAGTGCTGGCGTTACCGGCGCGTGCCGGTGTGCCGGTAGGCCGATCGCTTGATAACGATGAGGAGACATGATAACAGGCGATAAGCTGCTCGTTTTGCGGACTTTTTGTGGATCAACAACACTCTGAGTGCTTAATTACACGCCGTGGGCAACTGCGCGAGGCATCACTCTCCCTCAATGAAAGATGCCGATCTTGTAAAGTCGTTGTTGGTAATTTTGGTGCTTTCATGCCATTTGTATTGAACGGTGGGCATACGAGCGACAGAAGCTGCCGCCCGGCATGCAGATGGGACGAATATGGGTTCCGGCGTAAGTCGGGGGTGGGGGGGCAAGAGAGGAGCCACTTAGCCTAACTTGCTCCATGCCTTATCGTTCCCTGCTGAGAGTTGAGGCACGACGTCGCATGACGAGCAATAGAGGTATCGTTAGAAGCTCACACTGTATTGGGTAAAGTCAGCACAAGCTGCTCTATTGAGTGAAAATTGGGATGGTAAGATCTCGATATTGCGGGGTTGACCCCAAGCATGTGCCGGTTGTGTGCCGGCGTCGGCGAGTCTCCGATTTCCTTGCGGGCCTAGTACGTGTGCCTTAACGAGGTCTCTGTGCTTGAACCCCTGACACAAGTAGTCACCGATCAATTTTAAACAAGCTTGCTACTTATACAGCCACAGCCTTTATCAGAAGTATAAGCTCATATGAGACACCGCACGACCCCCTTGTTCACCATCAATACTCAAGTTTCGCCCCGAGATATACCGCCAGATGTCTCCGTCCAATAAACACGTTGTGTTCGACATTGTCGGTACATGTGTGTCGTACGATGCCATGTTCAACGCCCTTGATCGACGACTGGGGGATAAGCTTCGTGCTCAAGGTATCAAGCCTCGGCTATTGGGTTACCTTTGGATCGAAGTCACTGAGCGGGAATATACCTACTTGAGTATGAATGGGCGCTACGTCACATTCCGCGATGTTTTCAGCAGCATCTATTATCGAATGCTTTATATGGCGGGCGTGCAAGAGCCTCATGAATTCTCCAACGATGAGGATCTTGAGTACATTCTCCAGGAGTATATGAAGTTGGAAGCACGTCCAGGCATTCCTGAATGCTTTCAGATTCTGAGAGACAACGGGTTCACTGTTTGGGCCCTGACAGCTGGCGATGTGGAGCGCGTGGGAGGCTATTTCAAACACAACGGCATTCACATGCCCGAGGAGAACTTCATCTCTTGCGATGGGTTCAAAATTGGGAAGCCTGATCCCCGGGTATATAAGCTAATGCTGGACCGTCTCGGCGATGATGAGAAATGGTTTGCGGCTGCACACAACTGGGACGTCACTGCTGCCCAGTTGGCAGGGTCAGTCACATTCTTAGAAGCATAGATTGGGCGTTCATGGGACGATTGTGCTAACTCCTATCTCATTCACAGTTTCAAGGCAGCATACTGCACTATTTGGGAGAGAGAACTATGTGAGGGACTGTTTGGCAAAATGAACATCACGGCAGATACGTTTCCCGACATGGCGCGCCAGATTGTGGCGGCATCTAGTGAATAACAAGGTAGGGCGCTCCGAACGAAATATGTATCTAGAAGTGACTCAACTCATTTAGTCAATGAATTCCTGCCATACCAAGAAGATTTAGCGATGATCAATGCCTAGGGATTCGGATCGGAGGTGCTTGGACAGGGACTTACGGCGAGAAAAGTTCAGGCCGCCAAATCCCGATGACATTGCTTTTCTCTTGGTGCTTCATTGTTCCCTTGATGGAGTGCCATGTTTGGGATAGCCAAGCAACGGTCGCAGCGGCGGGCTGCTGACCGGCACGCTGTACTCTGGCTTGGACCGGTTATGAAAAGACAACATGGACTTGTTCGCCGTCGACTTACAGTGTGGGCTTATCTCGAGACTGTCGGGGCAAGTACACCCCTGGCAGAGTGGATCCCTCGCGCCCCGGCTTATCTACCGCTATTGTTATCCTCCGCGTCTCCCCCCATCTCAGGACAAGCTACCATCCTCTATAAACCTGTCAAAAGGCTCCTATTTCTTTCTTCTGGAAGAAGAGTCATCTCCAACAGAATCCTATTTTCCATGCCAACAACTACCGGGAATTTGAAGTTATTATCCCGTCATTTCCTTTCGGGACATCAAGATCCGCTCATTATCATCACAAGTCATCGCACTTTTTTCAGCTTCGCTTTGCAATGAATCGAGCAGTATCTAAAGACTTGGACCTAAAGGCTCAAGATGTTGCATCCAACTACAGCATGAACAATGGCAATACGGTTGGCAACAAACGTTCGTTAGAAGATGCAGAAATTCTTGCAGCCCTCCAGTGTTATGTGCCAGGAACTGTAGAGGAAAAGCGGCTTGTTAGGAAGGCCGATATGGTCTTGCTCCCGCTACTCTGGTGGATGTACATTCTCGCGTATCTTGACCGAGGCAACATTGTATGTACTCATTCATCGTATATGGTAACTGATGTCATGGGGTTCCCAGCTGACTTACATGCTAAGGCCAATGCCAACGCCGCAGGACTGAGCGAGGACCTTGGGCTCAGCAACAACCGTTAGTCATACCCGTCGTTGATTCGCATATGAACTCACGAAATCTAACGCCAATACTCATTGCTAATACAGAATACTCGCTCCTTGTGTCTATTTTCTTCGTCGCCTACGTCCTATTCGAAGTACCCTCGAACATGCTACTAATGAAAATCAAGCCTTCGATTTACCTGCCCACCATTTGCGTCGTATGGGGCAGTGTGATTATCGGGATGTCCCAGAGTAAAACCGCATCCTCATTTCTTGCCGGTCGATTCTTTCTTGGCATGATCGAGGCTGGCTTGTTTCCCGGTGCTCTGTTTCTTCTGACCTGCTGGTATACGAAGAAAGAAGTTGGTAAGCGTTCCATGATTCAGCTGACAGCACTGAACGCAAACAATCTTTGACTTGCATCTAACCCTTGCGGTTTCCAGGCAAACGATTCTGTATCTTTTATACATCAGGCTGTGTTGCACCTGCCCTCGGTGGGATAATGGCCGGAGCGGTCATCTCGCGACTAGAGGGAGCCCGTGGAATATCAGGCTGGCGATGGCTTCTCTTGATTGAGGGTGTTGTCACCGTTGCTTGCGGATTCGGACTCTACTTTGTGCTCCCAGACTACCCCCGCAACTCCAAATTGCTGACTCACGAACAACGACTCCTTGGTCACGTCCGCATTCTACACGACCAAAGTGCATCTGTACAATCTGAGGATGATGGTCTTACACCAATCCAGGCCTTTGCAGCAGTCCTAAAGGACGGCAGAACTTGGATCTTCCTGGTTCTCTACGCCTGCAATATTCTGGGGTTGACGATCTCATACTTCATACCCACGATGCTCAAGGGACTTGGATATACTAGTATCACTGCCCAATGGATGACAGTTCCTATCTGGGCGTGTGGCGCTGTGTTTCAGTTATTGTGGTCATGGACATCTGATAAGTACCAAGATCGCAGATGGCACATTACCGGTCTGCTTTCCATTTCTGCTCTGTCATGCCTCATCGCCATCGTCGTTCGGAACAACATTGTCAAGTACGTCATGATGTGTTTTCTCATTGGAGGCATGTTCACGACAGTGCCACTGATTCTAAACTGGACGAGCGAGGTCATGGCTAAGCCCGAGCGGAAGCGATCCATCGCCATTGCGTTTGTCAATTCCTTTGGCCACACTAGTTACATCTATGGGAGCTATTTATGGCCTGCGTCAGAAGGCCCACGCAATCTCAAAGGGTTCGCAGCCTCCAACGCTGTTCTTGGCACTGCCGCTATCCTCGCCGCAGCCCTTCCCATCATCTTCAAGTATCTTCGGACCAGAGACAGAGAACCAGTCGGACAACGGAATCAATAGTCAGGTGAACATATTGACGAACCTTCTTAATACTTCTTCGAGGGATTAAGGGGGTGGGTGAGTGTTATGACACAAATGTGTGTCGCTGAGAGCTTGAGCCTGCTTTGTACTATCAAAGCGATTAAAATGTTCTGTATATAGGTAAATGAGCTTGGAAAGAAAAGTTACACTTCAATAAAACAGAAGAATTGTAAATAACCTTGTACAAGAAATAGAAGGTTGAATTATCTATGTCGCTCAGGATTTTAGCCTACTCATACTTAAGTTCTTATTACTAGTTGCCTGTATGATGTCATTCCGATATCGGCGATGTTTTTGCTACTAGTCTCGTAAGTATTAATAAAGTTTTATGACATATGGATTCATGCACGGGTTTCTTGGACAACAACAAGAGTTTAGGCCGAAAGCCTCATCCATTTGGATAAAAAGACATACGAAAGATGTTATAGCCCTTTTAGTAAAGACTTCCTAGAACCCAAGTATCCCCTCTCTAACTCGTAGTAGACCGGTTGGTTCCAACAAGACGGATTCAATCCCTCTTATAGTAGATCGAGTTTCTTAACATCTTGCCAACACACCCCTTTCTCTATTCCTCCACAACCAAAAACGGGCCACCGTCTGCACGAACGAATTTCGTTCGCGACCAGTTCTCTCACTAGCCAGCTAACAGTGAAATGTTCATCAACTAGAACCTGGTCTTTGCAAGAAGCAACTGTGTCTCCTGCCGTCCAGCAATGTTGCATACTAACTTTAAGAGATTTGAACAGGCCCGGCTTAATTATTTCACAGCCAAATTTCGACGAGCTTGCTTGGTGAGCCATGACTAAAGTTGGAAGCGCTGCTTGTGTTCTCGTAAAGAAGTTTTTTTGCCTCCTCGATCTATCACGTGCGTCGCGGTACCCGAGCTGACCAAGCCACTTTCGATGACAACGGTCTCTTGCCCATCTGGGGTGACTCTGACAATCTGGCTGGTCGTCGAAGAAGAAAGGTAGGCAGTGCCATCGACTTCAGGGGTAAAGTCATACAGATTCGTATGCCCCTGAACAAGAAGCTCTGACTTGGCGGCTGAAGTGACACAGGGAGAGATCTGAGACAGGGCCAGTCGGTAAAAGGTGCCTTGAAACCCCGTGGTGAAGCATATGTGCTTTGGGTTCCGGACCGGAGGGACCTGTAATCCGTCCAAGCCAGTCGAAAAGGCGGAGTCCTCCGTCGGCGCGAGGAGATCCGGATTAGAGTAAAATACACTGGCGGTAGTGTTGGATTCGTCACGTTGATGCTTTCAAGGATCCTGGCCGTGGAATCAGCAACTACCACCGTGGGGTTGGAGTCGATGCCTTTAGCACGCGGGCCAATGGTGGTGGCCGGGTCCAGGACCGCCAAGCCGTTAAACATCAAGGCTTAGGGTATCTCGGCCATGCGGCTAACTCGTGGCGACGACTGATTACTGGCCAAGGCAGTCCAATTACGAAGATCGATAAACTAGACTCCCCAAGAGTCTTCGACCAGGAAGCGGTCGCCGCTCGTGACCTAACCCGCACGGAATACAAAGATATCATCCTCGTACTTATTAATCCCAAATAACAAGTTCACCCCCATACTAGTGAGAAATACGTACACAAGAGTCGCGGCGTAGATGATAGGGTCGTCGGTCTAGACTTTACCGGTATCGTAGTAAGTAATTAGAAAGGCTCCGTTAAAACGCTAGGTAAGATACTCGAACTAGGTATTTTTTGGAGAAACCGGCTGCCAAATGATGTGCACAGGTGGCTATTCGCGAGCATATAGGGATTCAGCCATGCTAAGATCGTTAGCCGCTAAGGAAGCGAACAGTAAAGCAGCGTGATGCATTTCCAAGTTCTGATAACGATAGTACTATGAGACGGCAAGTTTGGTACAAGGTTTGCTCTTAGAGTGGTATCCTACACCTCAAGTTCAACTTCCCTCTCGCCTAATTTTTCTTGGCATCTGCTGTTAGTGAATGAGTGAGCCTACCACCAAATTACTAACAGCCGAAAACTCTTCACCTCCCCTTGCCGGAGCCCGCATCCGCGATGGCCTCACAGCCGCCGTCGGGCACCGGACTGATGTCGGCCGACCAAGCCGACCCCGAACCAGGCTCCGGGACACCTCCGGAGCCGAACCCCACCTCAAGAGCTAAGCGACGCCGCGACGCCGAGGCACAGCCGACCCGGCCCAGCCTAACGGGAAGCCAGCTTGATGCCACCACCGACGCCCCTACCTCGGCCGAGGGGCCCGCAGCCTCTACCGCATCTGCTCCGAGCGGATCTGCCACAGGGTCCGTCTTGACAGCCCTTGCAGAAGAAGCTAGACAGTACGAGGCACGGAAAGACGTCTTTCTGACCATTGCACGGTCCGTCGACAGCGTTGTCGCCAGCTTTGACGGTTCTAGAAAGCAGATCGCGAAAGAAGCCACTGCCTATGTCATTCAAACCCTCAAGAGACTGATCAATCACGAGACAAGCCCAATAGCGGCCCGGAGTTGGGCGGCTGTCGTCGCACCGATGGCGGGCAACACCACTGCGGCGACCCGGAGCGGCCAGAGCTGCCAGAGCTCTGCCCGCCCGAAGGCCACACTCCCCGCCGAGGATCAGCCGCAGGCGCAGCCGAAGGAGGACCTCCGCATCTTTGCCCGCGTCCCGGAAGAAAGCTTAGCGGCCGCTCGGAAGATCGCACCGTTCGCCGTACGACAGATCGTCTGTAAGGCCGTTGGCCTGGGGCTAGCGGACCTTCCCCACGTCTACCATATCAGCACAGGTTACTCTCTGAAGCCGCGAAACAAGCAAATACAGGAAAGACTACTTGCAAGTAAGGCAAAGCTGGCGGAATGCCTCGGCGCCCACCAGGTCGAGACGCCTATCAAGTGGTACACTTACGTTGTGCCGCGATGCCCAACAAAACTACACAGCATTGGCGGGGACGTCCTGGACCCAGCCACACTCGTTGAAGATGAGGTCTTCGCACAGACAGGACAGAAGCCTGTCCTTGCTCGACCGTCCCGCCTTGGGCCCAACCCAGTCACGAACGAAATATCTTGGCTCATATCATTCACATCAGAGGTCACGCCCTTCAGGCTCTTCAACCAAAGCGGCAGATCTCTGC